TCTGAACTATCAATGAAATAAATCATCTTGTGAATCTATGTCTGGACTCACTGCTTGTGGGGCTCGCCTGTGTTGCTGCTGCACAGTTTGTTTCATTTTGAAGTGCTCGACAGAATCCTACTATTAAGAGACAGCACAATTTACATACCGCTTCCATGTTTGATGGGCATTGGAGTTGCTTTAATTTTTATGTTATGAATACTACCGTTGGAAACATTTCTGTGCATGGTTTTTAGTACGTATACTGTATCTCTTTTTTAGGCTTATAGCTACAAGTATTTTTGATTAATCAAAGGACATAGGTACTTCTATCCTTGTTTCACATAAGTACCACCAAACAGTTTCTGACAATTCTTAAGCCAATCTGCACATTTCCCAGCAGTGAGCAGAGCTTCCAGGCACTCCAGTTTTGTGCACATACGTGGCAGTGTAAGTATTCCTGATGTCAGCTTTTCTGATGGGTATTCAGCAGGCTCTCTGGCTTTACTCTCCGTGGTTACAGATCAATACCTTTTCCTCTATTTGCTGGCCCTTGGATATTCCCTTTTGTGAAGTCCTTTTTGGTATTTCCGCCCATTTTTTAACTGGATGGCCTTTTTTATTAATGGGAAGAAGTTCCTTGTATAGTGCAGATAAAAGGCCTTTGTAGGATGCAACTACTTTGAACAGCTTCTTCTTTGCCGTGTCTCTTTACTCTCAATCATGAATTTTGGTTAAAAAAAGATAGTTCCACATATTAATGTATTCTAGTATAATGCTAATCTTTTTCTTTACAGCTATTAGTTTTATGTCTTACTGAAAAAGTTTTATTATATGAAGGTCATAAAGACATTTTTCTATGTTTACTTCTGTAAGTGTTTTAATGCAGTAGATCTAGAAAGCACCCGAAATTGATTTTGCATGTGGCATGGAATAAGGAGGCAGCTCAGCTTTTTCCCACAGGATTATCCAAGAGACCAAGCACCCTGTCACACAGAGGCCACCCTTCCACACCCTTTGGCCAGGCAGTAACGTATATTGGAGGTTATGTTATCAAGCGAATGCATCTTTGGAACTGTGTATTATTGTATGGCAACCTTTCTGGCCTTGAAGTTGCAGTTACCAGAGATTCTCTAGTCTTCTCATTCATTTTGGCCTATTTTTCCTTTTTAAACAGCCACTTCATGACTCCATTTTGTACTGTTGCACTGTTAACAATAATATAGCAGAGCCTTAGGAATTCAACAGAGTACTCTCCTTTTTAACCCTGAATTGTTAATCACTTAATTTGATAGTAAATATTGTAAACTGGAATTATATCTGCTATCTTATATTAAACACTTTTCCCCTTTCCTTTATTTTTAACTGACAGAGGTTTGCGGGGGGGTTCTCTATGTTCCCCATACTAGAGCTCAAGGAATCCTCCGAACTCAGCCTCCCAAGTACTGGGGAAGGTACCATCATAGCCAATTTGATGGAGATTTTTTAAATTCTCTATTACGCTTTAATTTGGGAACTGAACGTGATCTCTACTACTTCGGTCTTTGTTTAAATTTTTAACATGCTGCAAACTTAAAGTCTAAGCTCAAGTCAAGTTAATCAATCTATTCATGTTTTTAAACAATTCAAAATCTAAGAACACTTTAAATCATCCTCTACTATAATTTTACTGCTGTCAATGTTTCTAATTTTATTTTTCTACCATTTGGCGTTATTATTATTTCAACAATGATTATTCAGACTCATGCATGCTTTCAATATTTATTTGTTTACCAATTCTTCTTGTACCTTATGTCTTCCTTCTGGAAAGTTTTTTAAATGAAGGTATAGTGCTCATAAACTAAGAGTTTTATTTGTCTGCAAATATCATTTCACAAATGAATTATTCTCAAATAATAATTACACTGTGGATATTCCATTACATGGGAGAGTTACTATATCTCAAAACTCTGAAAGCATTTTTGCATTGTCTTTGGGTTTCTGCTTTTGCTCTTTAAAAGCTAGCTTTTCAATGTGTGTCACCTTTTTATAGAAAAATTGTCTTTTTTCATTGACTACTTTTCAGATATTTTCTGTGTCTTTGGAATTCTGCTATCCTACCCATATTTCTGTGTGACTGCCTTAATTAGTGTGACAGATTATGTGAATTGTCAAAAATCTCCTTTTATCACATTCAAATTTTCAACATGATATAGCATTCCACCCCTTCAAGAGATGGAGTCTCTATTTACATTTTAACTCTAGGTTTCACAAATGACTTGCTTTGGACAATAAAGGAAATTAGCAAATGTGATTAGGTAAACAGACTTGAAAAGCACAAGTACTCAGGGGCTTCCTCTAGTTTTAGGCTTTGAATCTCACAGCTACCATGTAAATAACCTGTGCCAGCCTGGAGAATGAGACTACATGAAGAAGAACTAAGGGACAGGAGTCCACAGCCAGCCATATCTAGAGCTGTGTCTCAGATTCTCCAGGCAGCTGCTGACCCAGACAGTCAAGAGAGCAGCAGGTTACGGCTTTGCCAGGCCAGACCAGAAAGACCGACTGATCTACTCAGAGAATCAGGAGCTAAGGAAAATGGCTGCTCTGTAAGCCTCGAAGTCTTCTAAGTGGCTCGTTAGGTGGCAAAAGGTAATATACCCCTTCACTTCATTTTACTTCCTACAATGAGAACTGATGCCTTTTAACAAGCTTAGAAAAGTCTTAATGATTATACTTCTAATAGTGCCCTTCAACTATCATCTTTTGGAATTTTCAACTCTATATGCATATACACATCGCTACCCACAGGTTAAGGGATGTGCAAAAGTTTTTATGTAAATGTGTCCTTTCCACATTTTAGTGTCTTCCTTATGTTCGTCTCTTTATCTCTCAAATGCTGTTAGGATAACTGCTTTGATGATATTTTTCATTTCATTGGTGCTCTCCTCACCTGTGTCTAATTTACTGTTCAGCAGTTTGACTTCAATGACTGCATTTTTTTCATTTCCGGAAGTGCTTTTCAATTCAATTATTCCTGGTTATATTTACCATCTGTAGCCACCATACACTCTTTCATTTATAATTTTTTTCTTTAAACGGTTTTAACATCAGAATTTAAAAACAATTTTTTAAACTATCCTTGCTAATTCCAATTTATGTAGTCCATAGAGGGCTAATCTGTTCTTTCTTCCCACTGCCACCCATAGTATCGTTAAAAATTCACATTTTCATGGACTTAATCTCCAGGCATCCTGGGAGATCTACACCAAACCTGTCTGTAAAAATAATTTGCAGTTTCTGGGTACCAACCCAGAAGTGCTTTAAGATAGTTTATAGATAAAGCAAATCTAAGTCCAGGCCTACATAATGATGGCAGAGAGGTTCAATTTCTAGGCAAATTATTAAGTTTTTAATCTGGAGATGAGGTAGAGATAGGCTGGCACTAGAAAGCCTCCCTTTCTTAGCAGGAGACGTTCTCAGCCTGCCTTTTTGCTAGAGGTAGCTTCGTCCTGTGTCCTGGCTTTAGTTCAGAAATTTCCAAACCAAGCATGAATGGGATCTAAAAGACATCTTATATTTCAAACACATTGTTGATATTTCAGTCTCCAGCTGGAATTTTTATACACTACTTGTGGGAATGCAAAATGGTTTAGACACTTTGTAAAATAGTTTGGCAGTTTCTTATGAAGTTAAACATACATTTACCATATGATTCAGCAATCCCACACCTACATATTTACCTAAGTGAAATATAAACCTTTGCTCATAGAAAACCTGTATGTAAATGTTTATAGTAGCTTTATTTATAATTGCCCCAAATTGAAAACATCTCAGATGTTCATCAGTGAGGAACAGAAAAACAAACTGTAGTCTGTTCATACAACAGAATTGGAATACTGCTCAGCAACAGAAAGGAAGGAACCAACTATGCACACAAGAACATGAGGGAACCCTAGCACACATACATAGTGAACACCTACATCCATGAAAGATTCCATTTATATAACACTCGGGAAAAGGCCAAGCTAGGGTTAGAGACAGGGTCGGTGGAGGCTAGAGGCCTGGGGGAAAGAGACAGACTGAGTACGAAGGGCACTGGGACATGTTTGGAGATGATGGGATGTTTATCTTGAAATAATAGGCAATGCGGTTACACAGAGTGTGCAAAATTATACACAGTTTTGAAAGATGTAAATTTTGTTGCATGTAAACTATACCCTCATTTTTAAAAAAGGAAAGGGAAAACCCGGAAGGCTTCCAGTTTCTAGTAGCGGCAGACACGCTTCTTGTTTTTCTCTCCTACAAGTACTCTATTCCTTAAAATGTCACTTCTCAGCATAAAGATGGAGTTTTAAAGATTTCTGTTGCATTTTATCCATCACTTACAGGCATTCTGAACCAGGAGGATTTTTATAACACCTGCTCTGCCATACCGCCACAGGCAAAACTCTGTCATTCTTAAGGAACAAGACTATCTTAAAATTTTTATGGTGTTTTTAGGTCTTTCCATGCATTTTATCATTGTATCCTCTTGTTTTCATGAAGTACAACAATGCAGTTGCGCTCTTTTAGACAAAAGGATGAAAGCTCAAGCGAGCAGAGATTTGTTTACTATCACATACTTGGACCTCATTCTCAAGCCTGAATTAACATACATTTCAAGGATGGAGACCAATTTGAGTATCGTCTAAGTTCCCCAGAATTAGAAAATCAATGAGACACAATTTGAGGGTCTTTTACATCCCGGATCATGCTCTCCAGCAGCACAGTAAGCTGTGTGACCCCTGGGCACATCGCTTAGCTCTCTGCCTAATTTCAAAGCTTCTACTTTACAGTAGAGTCACTGCAACAATGAAATAGGTTAATTTGTGCCAAGCACTTAGAAAAGCATGTGGCAGATAGTAAGTATTTAATTAACATCCGGTGTTATTATGGAATGCTTTTCCCACTATTATATACACATCCAATATTTAAAATTGAGCAGTATATATGTGCACACATACATACATATGAATGAATGAATGAAAGTTAGCGCTTACTTTGAATAAGCCATGCTTTTGGTTGCGCTGACCAAGCCATAAGTTGCTTCCTGGGGGAAGGTTGGTCTCTGGAGGATCTATTACACGCTCGTAAATCCTGCAGAGGCAAAGAACACAGTTACTAACAGATGCAAAGCAGGGTGAACAGGTACGAACACTGGAAGGACTCATGCATCAGCCGCTGGGATAGAGGGAAGGAGCCGGATGTGGTGAGCTGTAAATGAGAAGTGATGTCAGTGCAAAGATACGCTTCCTGATAGCCCCTGGACGAATTACCTCAGCCTCTCAGGCCTTTCTATCACCTCCCTCTTGGCAGGGGAGTGACCATGAGGGGAACATTTTCCAGTGTCCTCTCTTGAGCAATGAACTTCACATGCAGCCTGAGGAAAGTAAATTTACAGCTAAAAACACTGAGGTTCAGAGAATGCAAACACCTCAGTGCAGTGAAGACAGCAGGGAGTAGTGGGACGAAGGTGACAGCACTCGTCTGCCTGGCTCCACAGCCCATGTGCCTCCCTGCTCCCGGACCTTGCTTTATGCAGCTGCACCTCCTCTCTCCAGTAACCCTGGAGAAGCCTTGAAACAGCAGGGCAGCATCTGCCTACGTGACCACATGCTTGGTCTACAAATCCAGTCAATAATGTCATGTTCTAGTCACGGACTGAGCCCTATGTATACTCCAAGCCCCATACTAGGCAACAGGAAAACAGAGCCATAAAGCCCCACCTCCGTGGATTAAAAGTGAGAAAACATTCTGCAGAGGGAAAAAGTCTTTATCTGATACATGTATTGCTAACACAAGGCCTCAGCTCTGGGATCTGCGAAGATTCCTGGAGAGCCTGCACAACAACTGACTGTCTCAATTGTTCAGCCTTAGCAAGACCCAACGAAGCTACAAAGGTTTAAACCCATACTCTAAAGGTAGTCCCTGCAACTATTCGAGGATCAAAAGGCTCTGCTTCCTCGCCCCTGCCCAGCACCTCTCATCTCCTGGAGCTCAGAGGCTTCTTGGTGGAGAGAGATGGAGCCATCAGGACAGGTCAGTCCTGGAGAGAGCCCTGCACATGCCTGCCTTCATGACTCCACACAAATCCCTGCTGAGAGTCACTCAGCCCTCAGGCGCATCTTAGATTAGGACCACCAATCTATCCTCTCTGCCGGGAGGGAGCGGACCTCCTCCTGTAGGGGCTGATGGATCCCACCCCGCGTGGTTCCCAGAAGCAAAGTGCACAGGAACTTAAGACTGCCCAGTGGTCTCAAGGCAACTGAAGGACTGCAAGCTGCCGCGGTGGGGAGGGGACACCCTGCCTCCTTATACCTCAGCCACGCCCATTGCCCCATGGTGGCCTCTGGAAACACACTGCCTGCCCCCTAACAGCAAGTGGCAATGGATTGTTAGGAACCTGAAATATATCAGGTTTTTCTCTACTAATTATCTTCCCGCTATAAATGGAGACTCCAAACATAATTAAGGAAAAAATAAGTTAAAAAGATAAGCTGTGTTTTCTTCCCAGGAATCTAACTTTTTGGGGTATGTTATAATGAATAATTTTGAATAAAACAATTTGTCAAAAGTGCTTCAACACAAGAAGCTGTTATATACTTCCTTTAAAAGAAGGAGGTTTTCCTAACATTACTGGGAAAACTAGAAACAAGCCAAATTTACAACAAAAGAAAAACAAATAAGTTAGAGTAGATCAGCTGGAGAGAATTTACTGCAGTCATTAGCAGTGATAAATATGCAGGCTATGAAAAATGAGAAAGTATATACAAAATAATTTTCACTGGGAACGTGGTATGCAAAATTATTTATGCACTGTGGAGATAATGGTGCAAAAATTATGTTCAGTGCTAGTAAATATAAGAAAGACTGGAAAGAAATGGAAATCAGTGTATTTAGGCAAAGAGGTGGAAGTATAATTTTCTATAAGCCTGCTTTACTAATAAATTGAAAATGTTGTCAAACCGTTTGCCTTAACTTATATTTTAAATCATTTGCCTGTCAGAAGGAGAGCAGCATTCAGTTCAGAAGCTTTCTTTCTGGTGTTCAATATGCTAGAAGATGAGCTCCAATGGGCAGATTAGGTCTTACATCAATGTTTATTAAGTGCATGAGCAGATGAAGGACAGAACAATCGAAAAGATCAACTTCCTATCCTGCCTTACCTTCTGCAAGTGTAATGGCTCCTTGTGCCTTAGAAATAGTTGAGGAAGTGAACACTGGAGGCTGCCCACCATAGTCCAAAGAACAGAGACCCAACTCGTGTGTCTTTTTGGTACCAGGGATGGAACTCAGGTCCTTGCACTCATGAGGCAGGCATTGGAAACACTGAGCTAAATCCCCAGCTCAATCACCCCAGTCATTTTTTTTGATTCCCTACAACACACAGCCTCCATCAAAGCCTCATCCTCCCGCCAAAGGAAATACACTAGATGCTGCTTTCCCGGCAGCCCTGTGGAGTCCTTCCAAAAGGCAAGTCTCACTAGGGAATTCCATGCAGCAGGCAGAATCAACACACTGGATACGGTCATAGCAACAGGAAGAGAGTTTTAAGGTAATAGAGTTTTTATAAAATCCCAGAGGGAGGAAATATCATGAAGAGGATGGAACATCAGGCAAACCCACATTGAAGGGCATCCCATGAAATGACTGCCTGTGCACTGGAGTGCTGCTATCATGAAAGCGAGAAAGGCAAAGGAACAGTTCCAGATTAAAAGAGATCAAAGATACATAAAAACTAAGTATGAGATGGGATCCTAGACTGGATCTTGGGGCAGGGAAAAGAGTGCTATGAAGGATGTTATCAGGAAAAGTGAATCTGAGTAGGACCTGTAGATTATGCAATAGTCTCGTTATCAATGCTCAATCCCCAGATTTTTATAATCAGGTAATATATGTTTAAGTGAATATCTTGTTCTCAGGAAATAGGCACTGTAGCATTTAGGGACAGAAGGTCATAAAGTGGGTAACTTACTCTCACAGGCTCAAAATACAGTGTGTGTGTGTGTGTGTGTGTGTGTGTGTGTGTGTGTAAGTGCATACACGTACAGATAAGCACACTGCTGTTGACAAGACAAAAGGCAGAATTGGTGCAGATTACATGACTGTTCTTTGTACCTCTCATATAATTTTCTGGGAGTTCATTCGTGTGTGTGTGTGTGTATGTGTGTGTGTGTGTGTGTACACAATTATGGTATATGAACAATGCTATAGAAGAATGTTATCTATTAGCCAAAGATATTGATGGTGTTCCCCGAGCATACGCTCTGTGGGAATGGTGAAGCAGAAAAAGTGAATGAAAGAAATAATGAATGAAAGAAAAAATGACAGGAATATTATGCAGACCAATGCTGTCATCATAAAGTAAGAAATATGAGTAGCACATTATCCTACCTGTGTATGTGAAAGTTCCCCTTCCGCCTGACATACAAACAAGTCTGAATCTTGGCTAAAAGGCAACGGCTGATCCCTGGCTCCTGTCAACAGGCAGGCCGGCCATGGTGAGCATTCCCTTCAATCTGATGTCACCAAATCAAGGAAAAGGAGAAGTGAAAACTATTACGGTGAGCTCCTTGCTCTGCCCTGCAGGGAGGAAGTACAGCCTTTTCGATGCAGCACTCAGGCCAGTGAGGTTTCCCCCTCTATCAGCAAATGCCTGACTGCCTACAACATTTGTGCCACTGTTCATGTGATGGGAATGCGCAGGGGGACTTTAAAATGGCTAAACCCTGGCCCTCGGGTCCTCTGCTGACGCAGACAGGCACTGTTCAGACACACATCTTACACTGCAGTCCACGGCATGCGATGCTTCACGGAACCAGAAGGAAAAATCAAACACGGCACCCCGCCTGTCACAGCTGGAAAAAGTTTCAAAGAAGGCGCCAAACTGATCTTGAATGAGAATAAAGCACAGTACTCAGAATGTGCCATATCTGGTACTGAGGGATTCGGACATATTGTTTCATTTAATCCTTACACACAGTTAAATAACTTGTCCGTGGTTAAGCAGCTTGTGAGTAACACAGCTGGGATTTGAACTCAGACTCCACAAGGTGTGTTAACCACTTTCCTGTACTCCCTCCCCAGACAAGAAAAGGACAATTCCAGCTGTAAAAACCAGATCTAAGCCATGTCCCAAAGAGAAACAGTCAATACTGGCAGATCAAACCGCGACACAGATGAGGCAGCCTTCCTTGGAAGGCTGAAAAGTTTGCAGAACTTTTCAACTGATTCTGATCTGTATGTCCTGGTGTGTCCGCCTGTCACAAGCATAGTGTGATCAAATATAGGGTGAATGTTGAAAATTTTTTTAAAATATTGTAATCCCTGTGGTCATTACATATTACAAACATGCACTAATGAAAAAGTAAATTTTTTAAAATTTAAAAATTATTACAGTAAAAGACACATTATATTAATCCCCCTTAAAATATTCCCCTCCCTCTGAACATGCACTCAGCCCGACGTTCTTACCACTGTCTGAGGCAGCTCTGGAAGTCCTCTTTTGTGAGTGTCTCAGTTGCTCTGTTGTGGCTGCTTCTGTGCCCTGAGTTTCTTCAAAATGTTTACCATTCACAGCCATTTTGACAGTGAGGAAGTGATAGGAGTCACCCAGAGTGAGATCCGATGGATAAAGTGAATGCGGACACATCATAATGGCTTCATGAACCTGTATTTTGTTAAGGTAGCACTTGGCAGCAGCCGTCGCTGTATTTTTTTATCCTAACTTGGAAAGACACCCATGAAAGACGACTTCCAGAATTACTTCAGAAAGTGGCAAGGATGACAAGATAAATGTGATCAAATCAAGGGAAAGTATTTCGAGGGGGGTTAATGGCAATGTGGTTTTTTACTGTAACAACTCTTCAAGTTTTAAATATTCACTGTGTAGTTTGATCACACCTATTTTATTTTCTTTAAAAATGTAAAGACTTAAATCACACAAATAAATTACAATTTCTAACTTTACTTACTTAGCAGGGTGTAAAGGAAAAAAGTTCATGTGACAAAGCAAGTACCCAAAACTGCTCACCCTCACCAAACCTATTAGGGCCTTCACCAGCTTTATCCAATTCACAGAAAAGCTTTGTGGGAAA